CTGGGCCGTTCAAGTCCTGGGTTCCCGCAGGGAGCCAGTCTGCGGCACGCTCGCGTCCGCTCGGCCTCCGAGGTGCCGGCGCCGTGCAGGAAGGCTGCCTGCCTGCTGCGCTTCGCTCCGGCCACCCCGCTGAAGCAGGGACCGAGCGCTCTCTGCTTGCTGAGCACCGCTCCCCGGGTGCACGTTGCAGTACCCTGTGCCAGCGCCACGCTCTGTAGCTGCAGACGCTCCGTTGTCCGACCCTGGGAACCGCTTTGGGTTTCCTCCTGCTTTGTCTTCTCGTTCGCGATGGCTTCTGGGGAGGCGGTGGCCTGTCATTGCTGTCTGTCAAATGGGAGCACAGAGACCTATCTGCAAAATGTGTTGAGTGCCTTGGAGGAGCATTGCTCCCTGTTGGGGTTTGGGTTTTTTGAGATGGGCTTAACCTAGAAAAATTGGGAGTGAACATGGCTTGTTGCCAGGGCCAGCGCTTTCATGGGGTGGGCACTTAAGAGTGCAAGGAGGCGATGTACCAGCTCTATCTGAGAGGTACCCTCTGTGAATTTGTTTGATCTCTTTTTAATCTACATGCATTATTAATCTCTACCACATGCTGTGTCAGTGGGTCCCGTCCTTCGTTACGTGCAGGGTCAAAAGTTCTCCTTTTTTTTAGCTTGATTTTGGTTGTGGGACTGTTTAGACAAGAGGTTCTGCCTTAATGCCCTGGATTTCCCAAAGTGTCCTCACCTCCATGAAAAGCCCTTAGACAAAAACATGTCCAAAACCCTTTTGCCCCTCCAGTTCAGCTACACAACTTGGAAAGCTGCTTGTATAAATCCAGTCTCCCACCTTTAAGGAGAACCCCCCGCGTTGCCAGCTCTTGCGGTAGGCGGACTTTGCGTGGCAATGTGTACGTAGGGCTATGCCAAGAAAGCGCTGGGTGGGGTAGCAACATTATCCTGTAGCCTGCGGTGTGGCACAGCAAATACAAAGCATCTTTGCAAGGAGATTAACATATTTAGAGCCGGTTCCAAGCTGCGCTTGGAAGTTGGCAAGCCCTCAGTGCGCTCATATAAGCAGATGTGTGCCTGGCATATGGACCATATGGTTCATGCAGTTCTGTATCACAATAGCAATATTTCCCAATACAACAGTGGCTTCTATCTGAGGATGCAAACATGCGCACAAAAGCTTCGTTCGCTGGGTCATCCGTTCTCCCCCACAAGAAGGCCAGAGACTTTGCTGGCTTCTGTTTTCCCGGGCTGGGGGAAATGAAGGCGTAGCGCAGGTCCCCCATCTCAGAGGACATCTGTGGCCGGGCTGAGAGTTCCTGCCGCCGCCCTGTGCTGCAGAGACCTGTTGTCCCTGTGCAACCTACCTACAGCTGCCCACGGATGCGATGTGCTTCTTTACCCCTCCGAGACCGCTATGCCCAAATTTATAGGGGCGATGATACCCTGGGACCATCAGTCAGTTAATTACTTCCTCCTGTCTTTGCCGTGAAGCCGAGGGAAGGAAGCGGTGGCCTCTGTCTGTGACAACTACTGGTGCAGCCCGAGGCTGGACAGACAGCTATAAGGGGCGTTAGCGCCCTGATTCGCCGTAAGCCTCGGACTGTCACTGTCACCTTCGTGTGACTTCAGACAAATCCTGCGACGCCTGAGAGCCAAGCGTTAAAAGGCAGTCAGGTACTTAAAGATGCAGAATGGTGCCTTATGGGATTTTCCAAAGTGCCTAAGCAGGTTTACACAGCTTTAGAAGAGATCAGTAAGACTTAGATGCCACACAATAGAAAATCCCTGTATGAACAGCAAGGTGTCTCAGGTCTGGCTCTGTTCCGCTCTTCTCCACAGGTGCAATGGGGATAGCTCACTTTCCCACACTACGTCTGGATGCTGTTCTTGCCTTTGACTGCAGGCCATAAAAAATAGGGACCATGTGAAATGATCACCCTACACAAAGGAGCCTTGTTCTCTGCATGTGTCAGTGGGATGTCTTGCAAAGGTTGGGGTGCAAACCCCTGTGGGGTGACACCAAGGAGACTCGCTGAGTGAGACTCAAGATCTTTTACTGAAAGGACCTGTGCCCTAGGATCTCCCCATTAATCAGTCTTTCTTTCCTCCTTCACCTCTGACCAACTAGCTGGATGAGCTTTTCCGCAATTCTGACGTTAAGAAGGATTTCAAGAGCATCCGTGTCCGAGACCTGGGGCAGAGCAGCGCTGTCCGTGTCATTGTGGAGTCCCACTTTGACCCAGGTAAGAGCCTTCCCGGTGCTGATTCACTGTGGCATCCCCATCTGCCTGAGGAGGGAGCAGGCACTCCTGGTGGGGCTGCTGGCCTGAGAACACACATGCAACAAGGAGAATGAAAGAACCTCATTAAAATCTGCCGGGGATATGTTTTCTGCCCAGCAAAATCAACAGATGCTCTGGGAAGAGCTGGGAGGAGGTGCACCCTGAGCTGGTGCCTGGAAGGCTGGAAGGATTTTCCTAGGGAAAGGAATGATTCAGATGCATCGTAGGGAGGTCGTGAGAGGGAAATTGCTAGGTGGTCCTGCATCTTCACTCTTGCCTTTCTCCTTTCTCCTCTTGGCTACGATCAGCCACTTCCTACACGGCAGCTGATGTTCAAGGGGCCCTGCTGAAGCAGATCAAAGCTTCCAAGAAGAAGACCATCCTGGTGAAGAAGCCCCAGCAAGAACATGTCAAATTCATGGACTTTGGTGAGTCCCCTCTGTCTGTGGTCAGTCCCTCTTTCTTGGTTTAGGCTTTCAAACGGGCAGGCTGACTCTTCTGGCCTTGCCAGGGCCTTTCACCTGTAGCAGTAACCCATCAAATGCTTCTCCAGACAGTGCCCTCCAGAGCCAGGGCTCAGAGGTTGGTCCGCGTGCCCAGACTTGTTCTCGGCTCAGGAAGGCCATAATGGGGGGAAATTGCTCCCCTCTTCCACAGCACGTGGCAAGCGGCAGTGCCGCACCGTGGCGACGTGACAGTGCCCACAGTCCTGGAAAGTGAACCCTCCCTGGTACTCCCGATGGGGTGGCCAGCCTCGCCCACGGGATCTCATGCTGATAGACCCAAAACACCAATTTTCCAGGAAAAAAAAAACCCAAACAGGTCTGCCTGGGAGCACGGCTATCCCCGCACCAGGGTGGGAGGACAGGCAGCGCTGCGGTGCTGTGGAGGAGGACCCTGTGCAGACACGCACCCTGTGCAGGCAGCTGCCAGACTCGTAAGCCAGGCTGTGCAGCGGGAGCTCTGGGACCTGCAGAGCGGAGGGGAGAGGGCTCTTGGGCTTTTGGGTGCATGGGCTTTCGTCACCCCAAAAGCCCAAGTGGCTTTCCCTGCCCCCAGAGAGGGTTGCAAAG